GGAAATGCCCTGTTACATGTGTTGTGAGGACACAGAAGGAAATGCCCTGTTACATGTGTTGTGAGGACACAGAAGGAAATGCCCTGTTACATGTGTTGTGAGGACACAGAAGGAAATGCCCTGTTACACACGTGTTGTGAGGACACAGAGGAAACGCCCTGTTACATGTGTTGTGAGGACACAGAGGAAACGCCCTGTTATAGACGTGTTGTCTGTAACATTTGAAAACTCAGATAAAATGCATAATTCCCAGAAAATAGAACTGTCTGAAATTTCCATAAGAAAAAGAAAGTAAAATTCTGAGAAACTGTCAATAAGAAGAAGGATATGCTTTGTACAACTTTGCTTACACATTTTAAAACTCAGATAGAATGTCTAATTCCTAGAAAATAGAACTGTCTGAAATTTCCATAAGAAAAAGAAAGCAAAATTCTAGGAAACAATCACTAAGAAAAAGAAGGATATGTTTTGTACAACTTTGCTTACACATTTGAAAACTCACATAGAATGTCTAATTCCTAGAAAATAGAACTGTCTGAAATTTCCATAAGAAAAAGAAAGTAGAATATGATTATTTTAAAAGTGAAACTATTATTTCAATCTTCCTATATAAAACTGGTTCTCTTCCTTCCCCAGGAGACGTCAATTACCAGCAACAGCTCCTGAGCTAGAAATGAGGGATTTGTGAGCCCATGTTCATGTAGGGGAAGCAGAGGAGGAAGGGGTGAGGAGAGGGGTGAGGAGATGAGAAGAGAGGAGGGGAGAAGGAAGAGAGAGGAGAGAGGAAAGGATGGGAGAAGATGGGAGCACAGAGGAAAGGAGAGAGATGAGAGGGGAGGGAAGGGAGGGGAGAGGAAAAGGGGAGGGGAAGGAGAAAGGAGAGCGCAGAGGGGAGGAGAGACAGTCCAACAAACCTCATTTAAGGGTGGGATTCTTTGTCAAGTCCAACAAGCCTCATTTAAGGGTGGGATTCTTTGTCTGAAACAAAGCCTTCTAGAGAAGAAAGAGAAAGTAACTCCAACCACTTCCATGGCATCTAAGCCATTTCCTGAAAGAACGGGTGGCGTTGCTTCCTTCTGCTCTTCTCTTCAAGTCCAGCTCATTGCGACAGACGGACACTAGATATGAGCGGAAAAGCGGGCAGCTGGCTGGGAACATGAACAGGCGGGTGCGCAGAAGTGACTTCTCTGGGTGTTTGTTTATATCTGCTGTTTTTACTGCAGACACTCCTGGGTAGTTGAAGACTGACTAATGGAGATGCCAGCAATTCAGAAATGCCCGTCACTCATGAAAGGCCCTCGGCAGCATGGCTTCTGCAGCCAAAGGACCAAGAAAGGTACTGCAAGACAGAGCAGTCTGGACCCCAGCCCCTCAATTCTAGCCAAGGGCCATAGCAAAATACTGTCCTCTCTCCCACTCCAGCTGAGTAGGGACGTGCCACGCTTCCTCAACAGGATGGATCTGTACCAAGACGTCTTCAACACCTGCAGAGGAAACAGACATTACTAGTGGAAGGAGGAGTAAGTCAAATAGCAAATGATTTCTCTTCAGAAACCACAGAGCCCATGGGGTAGTGGCAAAACATGTCCTGAATGGGAAATCAAGGACTGATACACTAACTTCTACCCGTGCCTGAGAACTCCTCCAGAAAGAAAGGGTAAATCCAGACACTGTCTCCAGCAATCCTGTCCCACAAGAATGATTAAATGAAAGACTGGCTGCATTCTCCTGAGATCAAATCCAGGAGAGGTTGTCTGCTTCCCACCCTGTGATCCAGCACAGTGACCTGGACATCTGAGCAGATCCTTAATGGAAAACAAAGACACAAAGACACATGCAATAGAAAGAAATGGTTGTCCTTGTTTGCAGATGGCAGAATCCTACTGCAGAGAACATTCCACAAACCCACAAAAGAACCTCATACAGCAAATATACAGAAAATCTGTTTTATGTCCATGTTTGCAGTGAATACTATTATTTAAAATACTATCTCATTTATAGCTGCCCAGAAAAGTAAAATCTAGCAGTGCACACCAACATAATCTTTTTTTTTTTTTTTTTTGCCCCAAACTACAAAATGATGATCAGGGAAATCAAGGAAATTTTAACTGAAAAGGTATACCACATTCATGGACTGAGAGACTCAAATGCAAATCACCAACAATAAAGATTTGAAGATTTAATACTACATCTGGGTAAACTCCTTCAAAGTATATACACTGTAAAATGTATGTGTAAAGACTTAAACAAAACAACAACAAAAACAAAAGGGGTCTCTGTAGATGAAAGCTTCTGTCCCATCCAGTCCTGGAGTCATTTAATCCCACACACAGAATGTTTATATTAGTTATAAACTGTTTGGCTGATGGCTCAGGCTTCTTATTGACTATCTCTCTCTTAATTATTAATCCATTTCTATTAATCTATAAATCTGAGAAGCTGAAGAGAATTTTCTAGATCAAACTATAAATTTTTAAGGAAGAAAGGATAAAGTCTACTTACTTAAGTTAGAATATGTAGAACTCTGTCCTAAATAAGCTCACAAGTATCATTTGCTGTTACAGACACTCCAGGGCAGGAAAGAAGAAGCAGCTGGATGGGAAAAGGAGTGGTGATGACCCTACAAATGCTGTTACACAAGAATGTGAGCTCATCAGGAGCACGGGCCACCTGGAGAGTGTCAGTTCACTGCCTGACAATAGAATGAGCCCACTTGCAGGGCTACCCTGCCATGTACCCCAGGAACCATCGCTGGCACTGCAGTCTGAGATCCTGAACTTAACGAGCAATTGGGAAAGCCCAACAGTGAAGACTTGTCCATATAGATGTTTAAATGTTCCTAAGACACTACAGAAACACTAATACCCAAGTTGGCACTGTTCCCTTTCCAGGAAAGCAAATAGACCTGAAAATGGAAAAGTTAAATGATGTCTCTGTGGCCAGCATCCCAAGGTTGTATTGGTGCTGGGGTTGGAAGGGAGGCAAAGCGGATCACATCTGACACTATGTGGACATTCATTCTTACAAATTAGAGTCCCGCAGAGTTGTCATGCAAATTGCTGTGGCACGGCATTCCAGTTAAAAGTCTTTGCATAAATGTGCTCAGGATGACTCGTCTAAGTCCTTCAGCATCCACCAGTTTATATTCAAATGACCCGCATGAATTCCCTTTCCTTACAATTCCTATACATATTCATGAGACACACCATCAGCATAGAATGATGGCCAAGCCGAAAAGAGAAAAACCCCATTACACCAAAGAGACAATTTCCTTGGTTAATGCAATCAGACCATGCAACCGAATTCTCTGTTAATCTGAATTCATATCGAGTAGCTAATCAGCTTTTGTCACTCCATGATAAAAATTAGGTATTTGCAAAATGAGTTTCTGACATGTCACATAAATTTATTCTTGCAGTAATCATTTAGTGCAGGAGGCTTTTTCAAAACTCCAGTTGGCATTCGATCAAGATGAACGAAATAAACCTGATTTCTAAAATCATATTTCATAAACCTGATTTCTAAAATCGCATTGCATCCTGTTTTACTAGGCTTCATAAAAGCAGCAGGCAATGTACACTTAATAATTACTGCTCTTTTTACTTTATTTTTGGATTTACTGGGAAAGCTGCAAACATAACTTGCTAAAAACACTTACTTATCAAGACAGATCACTTAAAGCCAAATTATCTTGTTGCTTAAGAGTGAATGACAAGAGGAAATAGGAAAGAGAGATTAGTGCCACTTTGTTTTTAGTGTGTTTTAGGGACTAGCCAATTTTGGATGTTGTGGTTTCAGGGAAGGAATGCTTCTGGTGTCAAAATCAGGGCTGGGCTGGGGATACAGGGCAGTTGGTAGAGGGCTGATGTGCATGCAGGGAGCCTTGGGGTCAGTCCTCAGCCAGGAAAGGTGACACACACTTTTAATAGCAGCACTCAGGAGGTGGAGGCAGAACCTGGACACGAGTTCCAGACCTGTCTGAGCTGTGTAAAATCCTGTCTCAAACATATACCAGGGGTCCCAGCTCTTAAGTGTGTTCTCCCTGGAGCCAATCTAGTTTACTGTGAGAAAAAGCAGAATGCAAACAACCAAAAGTGAGAATGGCTTAAGTTCACAAACGCCATGAAGGTAGAAGGTAAGGGGAGTAGACTGTGGATGGTAGGGGGAGTAGACTGTGGATGGTAGGGGAGTAGACTGTGGATGGTAGGGGGAGTCGACTGTGGATGGTAGGGGGAGTAAACTGTGGATGGTAGGGAGAGTAGACTGTGCATGGTAGGGGGAGTAGACTGTGCATGGTAGGGGAGTAGACTGTGCATGGTAGGGGAGTAGACTGTGCATGGTGCTCTGTCTCTGTTATCTAGCTCAATGTCTATCACACATCAACCTTTCTCAATGTTACTTGACCTGTCCACCATTCATTCCCATGAGCTGAAACATTATATGACTCAAAGATAAGTCACAAAGCAGTACATCTGGTGCACTAGCTAGAAAATAATTATCATTCTCAAAATGAAGGAAAATACATCACATGAAAAGGACTTCCATCGTTTTTGCTGGCCTCAGGGCTATATGCCTAGTGAGCTTTCAAAAGAGGTGATGCCTTGGTTGATTTCACTCTCTGTCTTTCAAGGGCATGAATAAGAGACCCTTGGCATAGGTTTGGCTCACACTGCTACATGCTCCATAGAGCTGACCTGAGGGTGTAGCTCAGTAACGAGCCCTTAGCATGCAGGAAGCCCTGGGTTCAATATGCAGCCACAGAAGTAACTGGAACCCAGGAAAGCCAATAAACTCCGTGGGAAACAGTGCAGAAGGATCCAAATTCTTTTGTTATGTGGATAGGAGTTACACAGCTACCACAAAATCTTCGGAATTTTTTTATAGCAAAATGTGTTATCAAGTAACAAGTCCAAAACTGTCAGAGTTTCTAACATGTAGATTGTACAGAAATAAGTATTTTTAATGGCTTATAGAGGGAAAGGAAACCCCAAGAATCCAACTTTCAACACTTCACATTTATTTAAAACAAGACATTCTTATTGGTTTAAAATAGTACCAAGTCACTAAGTCCCAATGTATAAACACTTCCATCATGCATCTAATATAACTTAAGAGAAGTGGCTTTAATACAAGGTCCCCAGGCCAGTGGCATCAGCACCACCTGGGAATTTGCTTCAAATATGAATTCTTGAGCCATATCACACGTTAAGTTAATAACTGAGGATGTAAGAGTCCTCTGGACAATGAACATCAGAGAAAACTCTATCTTAAACAAGATGGGGAAAAGAATAAGGTTGCTAGAGAGATGGTTCAGATGTTTAGAGAACCGAGCTGCTGTCGAGAAGGACCTGGGTCTCATTCCCAGCACTGACTTCAAGTGGTTCATAACTGCCAGTGACTCCATGCAGCTCCAGGGAAGCCAATGTCTCTGGCCTCTGTAGACATATGAAGTCACACAAAGACAAAGACACACACACACACACACACACACACACACACACACACACACACACACACACGGAGAGGAAAATAAAGACAATAAATAATATATCTTTATTTAAAAAGTTAATTAAAAGGAGGCTGAACTTAACCTTCCAGATACCTCCACACAAGCCACTGTGCATATTAATTAAGGCTAACTTCTTTTTTTTAAAAAAACTCTGAAATACTGATCCTGTAAGGAAATGTGTAAATCATTCTTTTAGCATATTCAAGTCTTTGCTTCTCAGTTTAACTAATTAATGTGTAATTAAGTAAAATGACTAAAATCACTAAATGTATTAATACATTAAAATATAAACATATAAAATATAAAGATATGCAGTACAGAGGCATAGTGCTGCTTTTCTTAGTTATGAATGACATTCTAAGAAAAACATATTATAAAGTATTTTCTAGGTAACAGTTTTCAGGTACAGTGCTCTCAACCAGACACCTGAGAAGGGAGAGGTGTGGCTTCAAGGCAGGGTTGAGACTTGTGCTGTTGATCAGGACTGACTGTCCACTCCTGCAGCCTTCAGCCATGAGCTGCGGCACCTGAGAGGGACACAGAAGTCTGGATAATTATTGTCCATTCTGCATTGATCTACAGCCTAGGGGAGTATTTTGTCCAAGTACTAAAACTTATCCAAGAGGAAGATGTTTGACTTAAAAGTGTGTGTGTGTGTGTGTGTGTGTATGTGTGTGTGTGTGTGTGTGTGTATGCCTGACCATACATGTATGTATGTATACAATAAAAATCAAGAAACAGAAGCCAGGCATGATGTACTATACCTAAACTACCAAGGCTTGGGAAGCTATGGCAGAAAGACTGCTTCAAAGCTTCAAAGCTAGTCTGAGCTACAGAATAAGATCCTGCCTCAACATACACACACACACACACACACACACACACTCACACACACACTCACACACACACACTCACACACACACTCACTCACACACACACACACACACACACACACACAGTGTGGCTAGAGAGTGTCTATGTATGATGTCTCCTAGTCAGGAACATTAAATGGCAGGGTGCTAATGACCTCTCCGGACTCAGTGACAATGGCATCATAAACCCATCGACGGTTGCATCGGCACTCAGGCCCACACTTGCTGGAGTTGCACTTGGGACAAGGGTAGAAGCAGCCCAGACAGTTCTTCTCCAGGCAGTCACACAGGTCCATGTCATTACAGATTAGCCTGCCATTTTTGTCGTACTTCTTCATAACTCTGCAAAGAAAGGCGACATGAATGAGATTTCTTTTAAAAGGAAAAAGGATTATAAAGTCAGTAGAGACATGTATAGGACATGAAGTCCTTGTGCTTACAGACAAGCATTAGGGAAACCTGAAATGCTAAACATGCTGGTTGTCTCTTCATTGGGACATCAAGGGATGCATACCCGTCTTCCCCCCAGCAGGCTTGGAGTGGATAGAGTAAGTATCTTGGTGACCTCATGCTGTCTTACTCCTCCAGACATTATAAGCGGGACTGGAGGTGGTTTATAGTCTAGTGACCTTTGCACTATCTTTATGACAGAGACCACACCAGATCCTCTCCCAAGCCCTTTAGATAACACAGGTAGTCTATCTATAAAGCCCATCTTCATGGAAGAGGTGGCATGTACTTTGAAAAGAGTTCCAATGTAATTATACCTTAAGCTTTATCATGCACATGGGGTTATTTATACCACAAAACTTTTTTCTAAACTGTGCTGTGCTTAAATACACCTAAAATAAACTGCCTTGTGTCAGACTCTAGAAGCCTGAACTGACACTTGCTACTGGCTATTGAATCAGACTTCTTTCTTGCCTCTCACAGATCAACACTATGCTGGCCATGGTGTCTACACAGACTCCTCCCAAACACAGAAAAATACCATCGAAATGTTATTTAAAAGGAAACATGGAACCTTTGTAGCAGGAGGCTTCAGCTAGCTATTCTGGTGTTCTTGGATGTTTACAGAAATGCTGGACAGTTAGGTTTCTCTCAAGCCTGGTTGCATATACTGGCTGAGTGTGCCAAGTCATCAATGTCATTCAGTATGGGGGCACTGTTTCTGGAAACCCCCAGGATGCTGTCCCCTGAATAAAAGGGCCATACCCGTGACAGTGCTGTGCAGTGGTTTCTTCAAAATGGTGAGGACTCCAGACTAAAACTTACTACATCATAATCATTAAAAGAAAAAAAGAAACTACTGACAAGGGTTTCAGGTGCCTTTTCTACTGTTTCTTTACGAGTATTTTCCCCCAGTGTGGACAGAACATGCAAGTGACCGAAGTGACAGGAGTCTGCATTGTAAGACCCCAGTGAAGGCAAAATGTTCAGTGTCAGAGGGCAGCATTTCAGATCTTAGGTCCCCACACTTTCTCTGTCCGCCTCCGCAGCATGCCTGGAGTTAAAGACTCACAAGAACTTTACCACCCACTCAAAACCAAATCACTTTCAATATATCCTTCAATACAGATCTGCTTGAAAGTCTTGGGAGCAGCTTATATATCTTATCACCATGAGCTCCAAAGGCTGGTTATACCGTGCTGTGGAATAGTTCTTCTGTAGACTGTGAATATGTATTACTCTCATTGGTTAATAAAAAGCTGACAGGCCGGTAGCCCAGCAGGAAGTATAGGTGGGACAGCCAGGCACAGAGGACTCTGGGAAGAGGAAGGGTGGAGTCAGAGGAGTCGCCAGCCCGACACAGAGGGAGAAGGAGATGAATGTGCCATGCTAATAAAGGTACCACAATGTTTCAGAGTGTAAATAAAGAATATGGGTTGCCCTTCCAGGCCCCAAACTCCGGCGATCCCAGTCAGGTGAGCTTGGGTCTGGGGGGGGGCCTCGCCCCATCCCCTGCCCATCCCCCATCCCCTCGATCTTCCGGGGCACTCCTGGCATCCAGAAGCCCCGCCCACACAGGAAAGACATAAACCCTTCCAGGCCCCAAACTCCTGCTATCCCAGCTTCAGACCCCAAACTCTGGCGATCCCAGCTTCAGCCCTTCTAGGCCCCAACCTCCAGCGACCTCAGCTTCAGCTTAAGCTTCAGTGTCAGCATCCCCAGCTTCAGCTTCAGGAAGGAAGGAGACCAATGGAGACAGAAAGACCCCACCGGCACCAACTGGAAGAAGAGATGGGAAGAAGACAGAATAAGAGCTCACTCAGCAGTCAAAAGACCAACATGGCTCCACCAGAATCTAGGGACCCAATGCCAGCAAGACCTGAAAAGCACTACATAGATGAAGCAGAGGAGACAGACCTTAAAAATCATTTTATGAAGATGACAGAGACCCTCAAAGAAGAAACGAGGAAATACCTTACAGAAATAGAAGAAAAAACAAACAAAAAAATCCATAAATGGGGGATTCAAGAAATAAATTCAAGAAATAAACAAATCTCTCAAAGAATCTAAAGAGTACCAAGAAAAAAACAACCAAACAAATGAAGGAAACAACTCAAACAGTTGAAGGATTGAAAGCTGAAATAGAAACAATAAAGAAAACACAGAACGAGGGGATGCTGGAAATGGAAAAGCTGGGTAAACGATCAGGAACTACAGATGTAAGTATCACCAATAGAATACAAGAGATAGAAGAGAGAATCTCGCCGGGTTTGGTGGCGCACGCCTTTAATCCCAGCACTCGGGAGGCAGAGGCAGGCAGATTTCTGTGAGTTTGAGGCGAGGCTGGATTGACAGCCTCTGAAACAATACAGAGAAACCCTGTCTGGTAAAAACCAAAAAAAAAAAAAAAAAAAAAAAAAGAAGAAGAGAGAATCTCAGGTGTTGAAGACTCATTAGAGGATATACAGTCAACCAAAGAAAATCTCAAAACCAACAAATCCCTAACACAAAATATCCAGGAAATATGGGACACCGGGAAGAAGCCAAACCTGAGAATAATAGGTATAGAAGAAGGCGGAGAAATATAGCTCAAAGGTACAGAAAACATATTCAACAAAATCATAGAAGAAAACTTCCCTAACCTAAAGAAGGATATGCCTATGAAAATACAAGAATCTTACAGAACACCAAATAGGCTGAAACAGAAAAAGAAGTCACCTCACCATATAATAATCAAAACATCAAACCTACAGAATAAAGAGAAAATATTAAGAGCAGCTAAAGAAAAAGGCCAAGTAACATATAAAGGCAGACCTATCCGAATTACACATGACTTCTCAATGGAAACGATGAAAGCCAGAAGATCCTGGACAGATGTCCTACAAATGCTAAGGGAACAGGGATACCAGCCCAGACTACTATATCCAGCAAAGCTCTCAATTACCACAGATGGAGAAAACAAAATAACCCATGACAAAACCAGATTTAAACAATGTGTATCCATGAATCCAGCTCTACAGAAAGTGCTAGAAGGAAAACCTAGATCCAAGGAAGATAACTACACTCACAAAGACACAGGAAATATATAATCCCACTTTACAAAACACCAAAAGAAAAAGGGAGGAGAAACTAAACAAAATAACTTCACTACCAATAAGTCAAACACAAACAAGAATCATCATTCAATGGTCATTGATATCCCTCAATGTCAACAGCCTGAACTTGCCTATAAAAAGACTCAGACTAGCAGAATGGATACGAAGACAGAACCCATCCTTCTACTGCATACAAGAAACACATCTCAACATCAAAGACAGCCGGTATCTCAGAGTAAAGGGTTGGGAAAAGATTTTCCAATCAAACGGACCCAAGAAACAAGCTGGTGTAGCAATCCTAATATCTAACAAACTAGACTTCAAATTAAAATCAATCAAAAGAGATGAAATAGGAAAAGAAGAAGCCAAGCTTTCACTATTTGCAGATGATATGATAGGTTATTTTGAAAGACCCCGGCCCAGCCTACACAGGCAAGCTGAGGCTCATGGAAAATTCCTTTCCCCCACAGCTCAGCCGAATAGTCATTTTTTATCAGAAGGGAGCTCTGCCCAAGGACATGGGCTTTGGGTGTCTGCTGTGACCAGATGGCCAGCCCAGCAAGATTGGGCAAGCACAGAGACCTATTGTTCCTCAGATAGGGCCAAGGCCGAGACTTGAGTTCTGAGAGAAACCTTAATTGCCCTCGTTCTGAGCCCCAGCCTCATTTACATTGCCCAATCAGGGTCCTGTAACTAGGCTTCTCGCTTCTGTACTGCGCTTTTTGCTATAAAAGAACCCCTGAGTCCCCAGCTCGGGGCTCTCAGTTCCCGAGACTGAGATGCCCCGGGTACCCGTGTATTATCAATAAAGCCTCTTGCTGTTGCATCCAAGTTTGTGGTCTCGCTGTTCCTTGGGTTCGGGTCTCCCTCCCGTGAAAGTCCCCCACCTGGGGTCTTTCATTTGGTGCATTGGCCAGGAAACTGAGACCCCGCCCAGGGACCACCGACCCACTTCTGGGAGGTAAGAATTGTCCGGACTAAATTTCTGTTATTTCTGTTGTCTGCTGTCTGTCTATGCCTGTTCTTGCGCCTGCGTTTGTAGTATACAGCTGTATGCATTTGTATTTGCAGCTCCAGGAGACGTCCTGGTAGCATTTGGAGTACTCATTTGTTTGGGGTAGATGTCAATCTGCCCCGTTTGTATTTGGAGTACTCATTTGTTTGAGGTAGATGTCAATCTGCCCCGTTTGGAGTTCTTAGGGACTCATTTGGGTTAGGGGTAGATGCCTAGGAATCTGCCCCGTTTGTTTGGGGAATCTGCCCCGTTTGTATCTGGGAGTCCTTAAGGACTCGGTTGTTTGGGGTAGATGCCTAGGAATCTGCCCCGTCTGTTTGGGGAAGTCCCACTGGCCGAGGGATTTTCCATCCTGGTAGGGGACGAGGACGGGAGCACAAGGCCCCCGTCCCCCATCTGAATTTGCTTTTGACTTTCGTCAAAGCCGCGCAGCGAAAATCTGTTTGTTTTTGTTTCTTATCTGTTCGTCCGTCTTAGTGTCGTTTGTCATCGCTCTCGAGAAAATGGGCCAGACAGTTACCACTCCGCCTAGCCTGACCCTTTCACATTGGCAACAGGTTCAGGAATACGCTCACAACTGGTCTGTCGATGCGCACAAGAAGCAATGGATCACCTTTTGCTCTTCTGAATGGCCAACTTTTGATGTTGGCTGGCCACGAGATGGCACCTTTAACCCTCAAATTATCTTCCAGGTGAAGGAGAAAGTCATGGATCCTGGACCCCAGGGCCACCCGGACCAAGTACCCTATATAGTTACCTGGGAAGTGCTGGTCTATGACCCT